CATTTATTACAAGGCCATCATCAGTGCAGTGTATGGAAACCATGGCTTCTATGGAGTAGGGCTTGGGACCCAACGAGACAGTATAACCATAAAGGCTCTGGTGAGAAGAGACCAAAGCAATCACAAGCCTGCCAGCCATATCAGTATAGCACAGTAACGTCTTATTAGAACAGAAGGCATTCACATGTCCCATTCGATCACATATCCCAAAAGCAGGAGGATCATTCTTCATTTCAGGACAGTGGGCAGAGCCCTGCAAATAAATAATTAATGCCCCAATATCAGGTGCACATCAAGAACTGCTGGCGTATAATACAAATGCAGTCCAATATGATTGAGCCATTTATTTCAATTCTGTTTTGGCAATCATCAAGCAAAGTGTATGGAAACCATGGCTTCTTTAGAGTGGGGCTTTGGACCCAACAAACGTAAAGGATATGGTAAGAAGGGATTAAAGCAATGAAAAGGCCCCCCAACCAAATCAATGCATACCACAGTAAAGCCTTCTTAGAATAAAAGATATGCACATGTCTCATTCCATGATCATGGAACGCCTTTTGATTCCTTTAGTCCCTTCTCATCATATCCTGTTTGATTTACTGTCTTGTTGGGTTCCTAGCCTTACTTAGCATAAGCCATGGTTTGCATACTTTGTTCTGATAATGGCTAAAAAGCCTAAAACAGACTTGTGAATATCTTCTGTTCTAAGAAGGTTTTACTGGGCTAGGCACTTTCGAAGCCCGTGTACGTGCATCAAAACAAACTTCCCCCTGTGAACAAAAAAAGTGAACCGTGAAATCACAGCACACAAAAAACGTGCACAAGGGTGCAAGGTCCTTCCAAAGAAGGGACCTACTTTCCCGACCCCCCGGGGCGCAAGGCTCCTGACAGGGGTTGAGACTGTCGGACCACCAACCCGAAGGCCGGTGGACCGTTTCCGTCGGGGACCTGCCGAAACAGGTCCCTCACAGTACTAAGCAGGGGGGATCTCCCGAAGAGAAACCCCCCTCCTGGGTGGGAGGAGACAGAGAACCCCGTAGGAGGCACAGAATCTCCTCCCAGCATCAGGAATAGGCCCCGAAGAAACCTGCACCTTCACAATCTGTGGGTCAATGCTTTTAAAAAAAGCCAATCGTGCAAACGTGCATAGAGTGCATAAATAATAAAGTGCCAGTGCACCACGCTGACAGGCCTTAGGGGCCGAGTGCAAAAAAATTGCCCCGGACTAGCCATAAGGCCTGTCCAAGAGGCGATGTGCAGAAAATGCAAGGTGGTGTGTGACCAAGTGATCAGTGAGTCAATGTGGGGTCCCACACCCAAGTGACTTCCTGAGCACCCCTGGGACGCCACCCCCAGGGGGCACAACACCACGGGCTTCTGCCGCCCCCGAACCCTCTAGCCTTGATCAAGTTTCGGATCCATTCCCATCAGGAGATAGTTCACCTCCAGAGATCCCTCCCCTGGAGCCCACCCATTAACTAGGGTCGAAAACTCCGGGGCCTGGAACCTCATCCGGCTCCCTACCAATTACGCCAGGAACCTACCGGTCCGTCCATCCACCCTTCCTAGGCGACAGCGGACTTTCAGTTCCCGACAACTGATAAGAACAGATACTACACTTGATCTTAGCCAAAAGGCCGAGAAGCGATACTGGGCTAGGCACTGATTCAGTTGGATGACTTATTGACTTCTTTAGGTCCTTACCACTATTCCATGTATGGGTTGTTTGTCTTGATGGGTCCTGTCCCTACTCAAGTTCTGTCTAGCTGGGTCCCAAGCTCTAATCCATAGAAGCCATGGATTCCATACTTACTGATAATGACCAAAAAGCCTAAACCAGACATGTGAATACCTTCTACTCCAACAAGGCTTTACCGTGCTAGGCACTGATTCACTTGGAGAATTTTTTTATCCCTGCAGTCCCTTTTCATGATTTCCTGTATGGTTATACTGGCTTGTTGGGTCCCAAGCCTAGTACTTCATAGAAGCCATGGTTTCCATACACTGCACTGTGTGAATACTGTCTGTTCTACGATGGCTGTAGTGTGCTAAAGTAAAAAGTGTCAAGCAGTCAAAAGGGTCAGCATGGCAAAGTGTATATAAGTGCTGGTGTTCTATCAAAGTTTGTGACTAGGTTGGAATGTGTGGCCGGTCACGTGGTCACACATTTTAACGTAATCCCGCCCAGTTTTCTGGCGGTGGAATGTGTGACCACCCATTAGGTCGAGCATTCCAACGCTTTCTCAGCTGCTCCAGGGCAGATCGGCATCACAGATCGTGTATGCAGGAGAACTGATCTGCCCTGGAACAGCTGATCGGCCCTCAAATGTCGCTTCACTTCTGACTCTGTGAGTGCGATCTCACATTCTGCCGCTCTCACAAAGTCGGGTAGACGTGACATTTGAGGATCAATCAGATGTTCCAGGGCAGATCGGTTCTCCCGTGCATATGATCTGCAATGCTGATCTGCCCTGGAACAGCCGACAAAGTGTTGGGATGCTTGACCTATTGGGTGGTCACACATTCCACTGCTGAAAATGGTTTTAGTAGCTCTTTTACATAAGGGCAACTTGATATAAAATGGTAAAAGTCCAACTGAAGCTTCTGTATTCTTCACTCACAGATAGGAATAGCTGGGAGAGAGGGCAATGTACACGGCATTGCAGTCAGGCTGCGTATACAATAATAAATACACTTTTCTTTCTGTGGGTTAATAAGGAGTTTTCTTTTAAAAACAATTTATCCACAATGGGGTCACCTACAGTATCTGAATGGGACCAAATGCTGTATGCACTTGGCCCCGTAGCAGACAAATTCTGTGCATTACATACTAAGTACTGCAGCAAGAGTTAAAATGCCCTGTGCTAGCCAGCTGTAGAGTCAGACCCCTGCTTTCATACACAGCACAGCACCCAGGGACTCTAGTGGTCTGGCACTCCCCCTGCACACTACTCCAATTAACAAGATTCAAGCTGTGTTGTTGATTGGAGCAGCGCGCAAACAGAGTGTTGGACAGGTTTGGACCGGGGCAGCTACTGAGAGCAGAGGTCTGACTCTCCTGCATGCTGCCACCACAATTTTAGTGCTTACTGCAGCACTTAATATGTAAAAGTACGCAGATAGAAGAGCAAATGTATTACTATATATGCAGCCTGATTAGCAATAAATACAGATTGACTTTTAAACAACATTCCCAGCAGGAGAATCATTAGGATGCATTACAAACACAAATTTTATAATAAAATATTACATACGGTTAAAATACACTATCAATGATCATTGCGACGTGTTTCAGACTTTTAAAAAAGCTTCAACATAAAATATTCCATATATAAGGCAGAGGGTTAATAAGGAGTTTTATTTTATACAAATGTTTATTAAAACATAAGAGCACAAACTGTAGTGAGCTCAGCGTTACAACTCCCCGTGTGTTACGTCAATTAAATAAGTGAGCTGTAGACATCAACAACCAGCTGTAGACACCAGCAACCAGCTGTAGACACCAGCAACCAGCTGTAGACATCAACAACCAACTGTAGACACCAGCAACCAGTTGTAGACACCAGCAACCAGCTGTAGACACCTGCAACTAGCTATAGACACCAGCAACCAGCTGTAGACATCAGCAACCAGCTGTAGACACCAGCAACCAGTTGTAGACACCAGCAACCAGCTGTAGACACCAGCAACAAGCTGCAGACATCAGCAACTAGCTGTAGACACCAGCAACCAGTTGTAGACACCAGCAACCAGCTATAGACATCAACAACCAGCTGTAGACACCAGCAACCAGTTGTAGACACCAGCAACCAGCTGTAGACACCAGCAACAAGCTGCAGACATCAGCAACTAGCTGTAGACACCAGCAACCAGTTGTAGACACCAGCAACCAGCTATAGACATCAACAACCAGCTGTAGACACCAGCAACCAGTTGTAGACACCAGCAACCAGCTGTAGACACCAGCAACAAGCTGCAGACATCAGCATCTAGCTGTAGACACCAGCAACCAGTTGTAGACACCAGCAACCAGCTATAGACATCAACAACCAGCTGTAGACACCAGCAACCAGTTGTAGACACCAGCAACCAGCTGTAGACACCAGCAATGTGAGATGTAAACATCATAAACCAGCTGTAGACACCAGCAACCAGCTGTAGACACCAGCAACCAGCTGTAGACATCAACAACCAACTGTAGACACCAGCAACCAGTTGTAGACACCAGCAACCAGCTGTAGACACCAGCAACAAGCTGCAGACATCAGCAACCAGCTGTAGACCCCAGCAACCAGCTGTAGACATCAGCAACCAGCTGTAGACACCAGCAACCAGTTGTAGACACCAGCAACAAGCTGCAGACATCAACAACCAGCTGTAGACACCGGCAACCAGCTATAGACATCAACAACCAGCTGTAGACATCAGCAACCAGCTGTAGACACCAGCAACAAGCTGCAGACATCAGCAACTAGCTGTAGACACCAGCAACCAGTTGTGGACATCAACAACTAGCTGTAGACACCAGAAACTGGTTGCCACTCAAAGTCTAAGTGTTTGTAAAAAGTTGTCCAACCCCTTCATGTGATCATCACCTAAAATGGCTCCTATAGCTGTTTCCCGTATGTATTCCTCTCGTTTTACCTCTTAGAAAGAACAATGTGAATAAATCTACTTTCAAAATCTGAATTTGTTGATCTCTCCTGTTCTTAGTAGGTTGAAGGTGTTTTTTTGCCTTGTAATAACCTAGATGAAGAAGAGTCGATAGTCTTGAGGTTTTTGGCCTTTAATATCAAACCTATGTCCTGTTGGATTTAACAGCATATGTATTGTTTGTGCTGCTACCATATTGTATGTCCATTGAGAAGTCTCCCTGTGGTTACACAGAGGAAGTCCACCTAGGCCTGTTGTCCATTTTGATAAATAACAGTTTAGAATCTTTAATTGTCCTCTTCTCTTGAAAGTCTAGGACAGAGTCAACGCCATTGTTTATAAAGTCATAGCGCTAGTGAAATCGGGGATAGATGTTGCCCCAGTCTCCGTCTCCCTTGGCCGGTCTCTTTTTTTCCACTTTCCCTATTTGTTCTCTGTCTTTTCTGCCCCATATTCCTCGTCCACAGGGTTCCTTGGTCAAAAAATATAGAAGAGCATTAAGAAAGGAGTTGGCGCTTGCTAGAGGTCTGGTGACCTTGTAACAAACTGCCACCACCCCTAAGGCACGGCATCCACCTAGGGCAGCTCCGCTTGCCCTCATGGTCAAGAAAATTGTGCGGGTTATGTGGAAAGGAAGGAAGCAGAGGGCGAACAGTAGGGTGATGGTGACGATGGTCCGGATTGACTTGCGCCGCTGGGCTACGCCAGGAACGGGCCCTGGTACCCCACCCCCACGTAAAGTTAGCCAGATGGTGCGTACCACTCTTGAGTAGCACCAGGCAGTTAATGAAAAGGGTAAGAAGAAGCCAGCTACGTGCAAAAAGAGTCCATAAGGCATGTAACGTTGAAGGTCCTCATCAAGGGCGTCATCCCAGCAGGTTACTATGTTACTGTCCAGTGGTCCCGTCCGAGCGAAGAGCAGTATTGGAAAGGTCATGGCAAATACCAAGGCCCACACTAGCAAACAGGTGGTCCTCACCCAACGCATAGCTTCCAATCTCATTGAACGCATAGGGTGGCAGATACCAAGGTAGCGATGGAAGGAGATGCAGGTTAAAAAGAAGATGCTGCAGTAGAGATTGAAGTAGAACAGGAAGCGGACTAAGCGACACATGGGGTCCCCGAAGAGCCAGCGGTCACGGGAAATATAGTTTGTGATGAGGAATGGCAGGGATAAGCTGTACATGAGGTCGCTCAATGCCAAATTGAACATGTAGACCAGCGATGGGTTCCATGGTCGGCGTAGACATCGGGAGAGGACAATGGAGTTCAGAGCTAGGCTCAGCAGGAAGGTGAGGATGTAACAGGTTGGTAGGAATATATGCTTGTAGGACTCATCCAGTTGGCACGACAAACCTGTTAAGGGAAAGGTGGGGATTGAGGAATTGGGGGTAGGGGTGGGGAAAAAGGAAGGCATGCTGGAATGGGTATGTAGATGAATCAAGGACGTTCCTGCATCACTGGGTGGTACAAATCAGAAAGGTCTGGAAGGGACAAAGGGATTGGGGTGAAAAGAGAAAAGGGAAAAAAAATGACAGAAGATTAGTTTGGTGCATAAAATACTCAAACAATCATCATCACATAATGCCAGAACATTCCACCCAGAACTTATATTTCAGCAGAAGATGGACACTCAAACCAAGAAGTTGGACACTCAAACCAGTCTTTGCTTTTTTATACTTCTCACAGACTCCAAAAGAGAGATTATCACACTTCAGTTCCCGAGTCTGTCCATCTGCAATGGCCGTTAGATAATGGCTCCACATCTCTGTTGGCTTCACAATTAATTGTATTTTTATAGAGATGGGAAAATAAATGAGGACACTCAAAGGTGGCCAAGAATAAAGGCAGCAACTACAACATGCCAATCTCTCCACATGAGTGGAGTTCAGTAATCTTTTTTCACCACAAGATGTCCTCAGTCTTTCAGGTTAAGTGACGCTCAATTGAGAAGACTGTGAGTGCAGGGACCTACCTTACTGATCCAGGCAACTTACCTGACTTATTCGGCCAGCCTACCTCACTTATCCTGCCAGTCTACCCCACTTATCTGGCCAGCCTACCTACCCAACATATTCAGCCAGCTTAACCAACTTATCTGGCAAGCCTAGCCCACATATCCAGCCAGCCTACCCCACTTATCTAGAAAACCTATCCTGCTTATCCAGCCAACCTGCCCCAATTACCCAGTCGGCCTTCCCCACTTAACCAGCTAGCCTAACCCAGTTATCAACAAGTCTACCCCACTTATCCAGCCAACCTACCCCAGCTATTCCGCCAACTTACCCCAGTTATCCAGCCAGCCTTACCCAAATGTCCAGCCAGCCTACCCCACTTATCTGGCCAGCCTAACCCAGTTATCAGCCAGCCTACCCCACATATCCAGCTAGCCTACCCCCAGGAGCTCACTATCCTGCCCCACTTATCTAGGCAACCTACCCTACTTATTTAGACAGCCTACCCCACTAAAGCAGCAGATGTATGGTATATTTCAGGCACACAGGTAGAGACACAGTTTAAATACATATAGGGGAGTTGTTTTATTTGCCAATAACTGTGTATTTCTGTCCAATCAGTCCTGAGATATGTACACAGCTCTGCTTTGTTTACATGACATTTATCTGCTGCAGTTTTATTTTCCTCTCCCCACCCCGAGACTGGACAGTAAAAGAAGAAGCAGCACACTTCTTCTATTAGCTTTTTCCTTGTACTGCAGCACACCTGACTGACCCTTGTGCTGCTTCTCCTCTCTGATCTCTGCTGTACATCGAATGCAAGAAGCTGATATCAAGTCATATTCAGGTACTTACACTGTTTGCATTAAAACATACATTTATTGATGTGTAAATATATACAGAGCTGCATTTTTTTGTTTTTGATATCTGTCTGGAGTAATCAAGTCCGTGCACAGGTGCACTTTAAAGCTCAAGGCAGAACAACTTTCATTTAAGTATATACCTCAATGGCCACAGAGGATATAAATCCACTTTGTGTGCACTGAATGCCTTTGTGAACCTGGGTATTACCTTGTATGAGTAGCAGTGACATCATCACTGTGCTGTACATAGCCTGTGCAGAGAGCAGAGCTGTGGGAGGGGCCCAGCAGACTCCACCCACTGGAGGAGGGGCAGAAACAAGACCAGTCACCCTGCACAAGGAAAGAGAGCAGCGGTGAGCGGTCTTTATTACAGGAAGCTCCAGGTCTCACACGGAAGAAGTACACAAAGCTCACCAAGATTCAAGGAAGAGTTGAACTCCAGCCAAATGTCTTTATTGCTGTCTGTGACTCATTTGGGGAATTTCCCCCTCAGTTCCTGTCACTATGACACACTAACAAAATATGAAAACAATGGTCACTGGGACAGAAAGAGACAAGCATCAATAAAAGGGACACTTTCATTTAATGGATTTAAGTTCTTTCAATCATGTAGGCTCAGTATCACATGTGGGCATTGCCTAGGGTGGTCTGCATACATACATATGCAACCTGCCTAGGAACACCCACTTCTCCGGCCTGACACCCACCCATCAAGGCATTTTCATATTTGCATACCTCCTCCCAAGAGCCAGCCCACTGATTGCATCAGGGCTGAGGGTTCTTGAGAGGTGTACTGAAGGAGGGTGCTGTGATGTGAATTGGGTGAAATGCAGGTCAGAAGCAGGTCAACTGCATCTGTCAATTAATTCTTAATGATCTCAAAAGCATCTCAAGCTGATGTCAATAGCAGACTCATTGACTCAAGCCCAAAGCCGGTCTACACTGGACCTTTAATTAGATAAAGTCCTATTGGAGGACTGGATTTAAATTGCTGATCTACTTTAATGACAAGTATGGCGGCTAACAGCCCTGCCAACCAGCCTGCCCATTGTGGCCACTTATCCCCTGGGCATGATGGGAACTGCAGTCTCAGTGAGTGGCGGGGAACAATAACAGGAAGTGATGTTGCTGATTCTGGGACATGGTATATCTGTAGAAGGTTCTCATTCATCCAGGTCATGGTATATCTGTAGGAGGTTCTCATTCAACTGGACTTGCTGTATTTTTCTTGAAGACGTCTTCAGGAAAAATACAGCAAGTCCAGTTGCCTTGACTTATGTTTTTTTACAGATATTTCAAATGTAGGTGAGCAGATTCCACTTTACTCCAATGGTGCAGTGTGGGTGACGATCCAGCCGCTGCCTTGGACCTGTTTTGTGTTTCTATGGACGCGGCAGGTCCTATTGAGATGCATTTGCATTGCAAATGAAGCAATTCAAAAGCGTCCCTTTGCTGTGATTCGCTTTTTGCATGCATGTGAGCAGCGCTGTGTTCAAACGCAAAGAGTTAGATGACAACACCCCTCTCCATTAGACCTCATAAAGAGTGATACATGAGAGACAAAAATAATTATGGAGCTCAAAGGGCCCAAAACAGCCTCGGCCCGATGATCAGTGGTGCAAAATGAGAATTTACAACGTGAAAATTACGTGCAAAATTGTTGCAGAAAAGTTGCAAATTATCTATCATGTTGCAGCACTTATAGATTATAAGGAGCTCTGCGCCACCTACTGCTGGCTGCACAAATGCGCCCATTGTACGCGCCCAAAATATGCAATGTTTTCCATATACATGGCACAAAAATTACAATATTCGGCATGCCGCAAACAGGGGTTTTCCAATTTCTGACGCACATGTTGCATCTCAAATGAACATGCATTGCGATTCATTACTACCAATGGCGCAACCTGTGCTATTTTGATGGTACGCCCATAGTTCATTGGGGCCCCTTGTCCTTCCAGATGAGGCTATACCTGGGCTCGTGGTGATATATGTCAGCACACACAAAGCGATGACCTGTACATGGGAAGAGTTCATCTGACGCATAGCGCAGGCCCCCTGCACACGGTACCAAAACACATATTTGTTTCCCTTCATTGCTGTGCGGCTCTTCCTGACTCAGCGGTTCCGCCTCATTAATTCTTCTTAATGAATAACGAAGCCCCAGTCTGTGTGACCCCTCTTCACTCCTGTAACCATTTCCCAGCCCTGGCTGCCAGCTGCCCAAAAAACCTGCACAAGGCCTTCTTGTCACATTCCATGCAACGATACGCTAGAGATCCCCTAGCTATAAACAATTTGCTGCAAAAGACCTGGAAGAAACCTCCTTTAGAGGTCCAATATGTGGACATTGAAGTCCATGTCCAGCCATGTTTCAGTTTTGGATAGAGTAGGGTAGGGTTAAATCCCCCGTCAGGTTGTGTATCTTTGTTGGGTTGAGATTTTCCCTCACTTCCTATTCTGGTGACAATGTGTTACCTGTACAGGAAGTAGGTTGCTGCCTTCAAGAGGGATGCAGTCAGGGTTCTCTTTTAATTATTTTAGGTACTTCATGTCCTTTTTAGCATTTAAATGAAACTCCATATTAATAAATACACTTGTAAGTGCAGCATAGGCCCAACTCAACCCAAAACTCATCATCTAATTTTCTGCGGGTGGTGGCACGTCAGATCACATGATGGCACCTCCTACCTCACAGATACTGTACAATCTCAACTCAGCTTCGCTCACTTATAGAATACTTCCATCTCTTATAGAATACTTCCCTCGCTAATAGAATACTTCCTTCCCTTATAGAATACTTCCACCACTTATAGAATACTTCCCTCCCTTATAGAATACTTCCCTCCCTTATAGAATACTTCCCTCGCTAATAGAATACTTCCCTTCCTTATAGAATACTTCCACCACTTATAGAATACTTCCCTCGCTAATAGAATACTTCCCTCGCTAATAGAATACTTCCCTCCCTTATAGAATACTTCCCTCCCTTATAGAATACTTCCCTTCCTTATAGAATACTTCCCTCCCTTATAGAATACTTCCATCTCTTATAGAATACTTCTATTGTAACATACTTCCATCATTACATCCTTCCATCATTACATCCTTCCATCATTACATCCTTCCATTGTTACATACTTCCATCATTACATCCTTCCATCGTTACATTCTTCCATCGTTACATCCTTCCATCGTTACATCATTCCATCGTTACATCCTTCCATCGTTACATACTTCCATCGTTACATCCTTCCATCGTTACATCCTTCCATCGTTACATCCTTCCATTGTTACAGCCTTCCATCATTACATCCTTCCATTGTTACATCCTTCCATTGTTACATAGTGCCATTGTTACATCCTTCAATTGAAACATCCTTCCATCCTTCCATTGTTACATCCTTCCATCACTACATCCTTCCATCGTTACATCCTTACATCGTTACATCCTTCCATCGTTACATCCTTCCATTGTTACATCCTTCCATTGTTACATCCTTCCATTGTTACATCCTTCCATTGTTACATCCCTTCCATCACTACATCCTTCCATCGTTACATCCTTCCATTGTTACATCCTTCCATTGTTACATCCCTCCATCGTTACATCCTTCCATCGTTACATCCTTCCATTGTTACATCCTTCCATCGTTACATCCTTCCATTGTTACATCCTTCCATTGTTACATC